CGCCAGCAAACGCTGGAGCGGCCACGAGATTCGCCTCCCGATGGCCACGCTCAGGAATCTCGGGGGCATCCAAATACCAGAGCAAGGGACACCCCGTTCAGAGGAGCAGCTCCGAATGACTGCCGTTTTTTTTTTTTTGTTGTTGTTGTTTAAACAAATTCCAGAGGATTTTAAGCAAGTGGGTTTAACATACATGGAGGACATCAGAATAATCCGGGATTAAAATCCTCATGGATTCCTCATGGGAGAGAAGAGGGTGGGGGAGAAAAATCTGCTTTAAAGAGCCCCTGAATATTAAATTCGATGAGCACAGCCCTCCTAAAGGAGCACTCACCAACTCTACAGAAAAAAAAAACATCTCCCGAACCTCTTGCACATCCTTCAAGTGACGCTTCTTCCCCAAACCAGCAAGAATAAAAATAATTCTACGTTATTTCTGCTGGGGAGGCAGCGCTTTACACGACGTCCATCCATGCTCCACACAACGCGGTGGGTCAGCTGCACGGCAGCCCCCTTCCCTCCCTGAGTATTTCAGAGCAATTTCACGGCCCGGAATGACGAGAGAAATATTGGGGAAAGTTTTTCCACAGGGCACCTTCTTGCCCGGCTCGGCCCAAAGCACGCTGCACAACTTACATCGCTGAACTCCAGGGGCAAACTCTCCGTGGGCTGGAGCTCAGCAGCGCTCAAGTAGAGGTCTGTGGGGGCAGCTTCCAGCTCCTCGGGGACGGCCAGAACCTGCTCGGGTACGTACATCTGCGGAGGCAGGCGGAGGTGGAGCGGGCAGCAGGGATCCTCGGAGAGGCTCACGGGAACTGGCTTGTTGCAGGGCACTTCCTCGGAGCCCTGACACGGTTTGAAGAGAGTCTGATTGGCGTCCTGACAGATGTCTGGGGAGACGCGGTCAAGGGAAACATGACAGAATCATGGAGGTTGGAAAAGCCCTTCAAGCTCCTCCAGCCTGACCACGAACCTCACCCTGACCGCCCCCAACTCCCCCAGACCCCTCAGCGCTGGCTCAGCCCGACTCTTCAACCCCCCCAGGGATCCCGGGGACTCCCCCCTGCCCTGGGCAGCCCATTCCAACGCTCAACAGCCCCTTCTGCACAGAAATCCTTCCTCAGAGCCAGCCTGACCCTGCCCTGGGCAGCTTGAGGCCATTCCCTCGGGGCCTGGCGCTGGGGCCTTGGCTCCAGAGACTCATCCCCCCTCTCTGCCCCCTCCTGGCAGGGAGTTGCTGAGGGCCAGGTCTCCCCTCAGCCTCCTCTTCTCCAGACTAACCAACCCAAACCTGCACAGCGGATGAGCTACGGACACACACAAACATCCAGAGGCAGAAACGCTCCCCACACACCCTCCAGCAAACAGCCTTAAAACCCCCATCTGTCTCTCCAAGGTCGAGTCCAGACTCCACGAGCAACGTGGGGGACGTTACTCGCCCGATGGAAAACGGGGACGAGAGCAGCGGCCTCCCAGCGGGGGCTGGGAGATGTCACTGGCTCCCTGCGAGGCACCCGCAGATCCTCAGATGGAAGAGATTACAAACGCACGGGCTTGCTTTTATTTGCAAGGCATCCATTTAAAAGGCATCTGCACAAGCCTCGAGATCTAACGCGCAGAGGAGATACGAGCACACACAATGCTTTTTCCACAGCCAGGAGTTTAGTTCCGGTATTTCTATCTTCCCAGTGCATTTTCCTTCCCAATGGAAAACCTATTCCTGCCAGAGGTGTAAATGGGATTTCCTGCCTTTAATCACAAACAGAAACTCTGCTCCGACGGCATCGCGCCTGCAGAGCCATCACCAGCAAAGAGGAGCTACAGCCCAAATCCCGTCCTCTTCCCAGAGCTGCAGCCGGACCCACCGCGGAGGCCGCAACGTTTCACTGACAGAGCTGAAGTTTCTCCTTCCTGCTAGAAGGGACAAGAATTGTGTCACCAAGGGAGCTGTGAGGCAACGATCTCCATGTGGGTGACAATCTGGGGCTGGGGCCAATGCAGATTTCAGGTGCGGATCGAGTCTTTCAGGTCAGAACCACCCAAATAACCATCCAGACGTCGCTGGTATTTGCGGGGTTCAAGCGACTTTCGTCTTCACTCAGCGCAGTGCGGGTGAGGAAAAAAAACAAAAACCACAAACCCCAAACTTCCAAACCCACGTGAATTAGCAAAAGGTGCAGAGTTTAGCCCGTGAGCCCTTTAGGTTTCGGACCGATCCTTCTCTCCTCCCTGCAGCCAATGCGGCCGCCCCACAGGTCGGGGGGAGCCCGTAAATCCCTGCTGGCAGCCCAGCCCAGAGCAGCCAGATCTCCGAGACACTCGAGGGCAGATGTGGCAAGGGAAGTGTCTCTGTATGAACAGCAGGGTGGGGGAGCCAGATTTTTATCTCTGAACGACTCCCAGATCAAGCGCTGACTTTATTGGTAGCCAAAAAGCAGGGATTGCCAAGATGACAAAATCACACGCTCCACCTGGAGCACAACAGCCCAGCTGGGTTCGGTCCCTTTAATGCATTGTCAGAAACAATCCAGCTCCTGAAAAGCAAACAAAGCCCAAGAGCCTCCCGACAATGCACAAAGCCGAGAGACTGCAGATGTTATCGGCTCAGCAGGGCTAACCAAAGTAAAATCTTGTTTGTGTCAGTGAAAGTCAGCTGACAGCTCAGACGTAAGGAAATCAAACCTCGCTTTTTCCACTCCCTTCTCGGCCTGCCCTGCTCAAAGCGAGCCAGCTGCAAACAGCAACTTGCTCGAACCGTTTTGTAGGTATTTACCCTGTCTTTATTTTGAAGTATATGGTCACTAGGGAGAAACAAAGGCGGCTTCCTGCTCCCCAGGCTGCTCCCTACACATAGCTGGAGCCGAGTCTGCCAAGTTCAGTAACAAAACAAAACGAAGAGCTCATCCTCCCCCTGGCTGCTCGCTCTGCTCGGGGACCCAGCGCCGGAGCTTCTCCTGACTCACACCAGCAAACAGCTGCTAACACAGCTCCGCCACGATCCAAACCTGCTCCCGGACACATCCACCCAATCCCACTTAGACAGAGACGCACCCGGGGCGACGCTCGGTTCCTGGATCCCACGTTGGGGTGGTGATCTCTGAGCTGGGGGGGATCCCAGTGGAAATTTCAGTGCTGACTCTCAAAAAGCCGAGGCTGTTTTGGGCAATAACAGCTCGAGGGTGTTCACACACATGTGTGAACCTTTTAAGGGGTCAGAGCAGACTGGAGCTGGTCCACAGCAGCCCCAAACAGGCCAGGAACTACTCCCTCATTCGGATCCTCCCCAAAAAAATCAGTGAGCACACGCTTAAGCAGCCAGCCAGCCCTTCCCACACACAACCCTCGCAGCGGGACTCGTACCGAGAGCTCACAGACCCTGCTCAGGACAGCTGCTGGCACCCAGGCGGAGAGCAGACCCGCTTCCACCCTCCCTCGCACCACCAGGACTAGCTCGGGCTCCCCTCAGGCTCCGGGAGGTTCCCTCGTCGCTTCCAATCGGACCGGCCACCCCGTTGGGATGCTCGGGATGGGCCACGGGCCACAGGGAGGCTGCAGAGGGACCTCCCTGGGCAGAGGCTGAGCCCAACCTTTTGTCACTCCCACACGAATTGGCCGTTCCACGGGGACAGGAGCGCCAACAGACCGGGAGACGTTTCCTCTGGGCTCCTTTTTGAAACCAACGGCTACAGCAAACCGATGGCCTTGATTTAGGGCCAAAAAGGAGGGGGAAAAAAAAAAATAAAAAGGGAGGATCAGACACAGTCCAAACCACCAGAAAAGGGAGAAGCGCAGCCCAAGGCAGCACAGGCAGATCAAAGGATACGCGTAAGGCAGTGCCTGGTCATCGGGAGGGACTGGTTGGAGCATCGGACGTCGTCGACGAAGGCCAAGCACCTCTGGCTGGAGCGGGTGGTGTGCGCCTGCAAGGCCAAGAGAGGAGCTCAGCATCATCCAGCTCTGCTCCAGAGAAACCCCCTCGGCCACACAACGCCCGCGTCCTGCTTTCAAACCACGCCAAGTCCCGACTGGCAGCTCCACTCCAGCACAGCCTAGCTCCTCATTATGTCCTTCTCCTTCAAGTTTTTATTAAACAGAGCTGAGATATGAAGGCACAGCTCGAATTCAAGAGGAACAACTTCACCTCAGAAGTATGTCTCAAAAATGAGGTTTCTCAGATTTATCTTTCAGCTTTCAGAAGTCAGCTAACGGAGCACTGTGAATTTTAAAACAGTTACAAAGAAAATGGCTGCATACAGCCTCAAATTCTGTATCACGTGTGATGCAAGGGGCCTGCCTTTTGGTCCCCACAGGTTTAGGAGTCTGGATTTTAGGAGTCTGGATTTCACCACCACGAGGAGTGTTTTCCACACCTTTTGGCAGCGATGAAATTCAGGCCGCCTCGTTCTGAGCCCTCCCTCGAGCCATACACTCGAACTTCTGAGGTTTTGGCGCCTGTTTAAAACATCTCCAGGCACCCCCCAATGTTTCACCCAATGTGGATTCTGAGGGCGCTGGCCAGGACCAGACCTTGATGCCCTTGCAGAAAGGGACCAGCTGGCAGGGCCAGAGCAGACCCGGCCTGGGATCGCTCCCAGGAAGGGAGGAGAGGAGAGACCCAGCTCTGCCGTAGCTCCCGAGGGCTGGACGCACCTGCTGGGCGGCGCCGTCGGTCGCCAGCATCCTGCGCTCCTTCAGCTGCCGGTGGAGCAGGGCCTCCACGCCGTAGCGCTGCCGGTACCGACGCAGGCACTTCAGGCGCTTCAGGTTCTCACGTTCCTTGGCCATCAGCCCCTCCGGGCCCGTCAGGAGGCTGCTGCCTGCAGGGAGCGAGGCAGGGGTCAGAAAATACCACCCCCACCTGACACATCCCTTTATTTTTTTTGGTACCGAAAGCCAAAATCAGCTGTCGAAAGCTCCAACAGCTGACTAATGACCCAGAGAGCAAGTGAGCAACGAGAGCTGCACGTATAAACAGGAAGCCCATCTTGCAGTTACACAAGATTATGACAAAGCAGATTCCATCCTAAATTTGATCCCAAATTCTCTGTGCACACGAGGAGCACTTTGGGCCAACAGAGTTATTTTTTAAAATATCTGTTAAAATAATTTGGCTAGTCAGGAGTCTATTGTGATTTCTGCAGGCAGAACAGAAGTTTTGTCAACTTTCAGCAGCTCCTGTGCAAGTTCTGGAAGCTTCCCGTAAGCACTCCCAAGCTGTAATTACAGGGCAACGCTCAGGATCTGCTTTTCTATTACTGGTTTGCTAAAAAGAGTTCTACAAAATTGTTATGTACGAAACTTCCAGTTATTTTTACTTGGGACCGAGCTGTATTATACCATTTTCCAGGATGAGCTATTATAAGACTATGCTAGAGAAAGAATTCTTTACACTGCGACACTTGCAACCAGTTATACAACCCGGTTCTGCCTCTGCTCAGCGACGAACTGCTGCCTCCGAGAGAATTCCAACGGAGGCAGAAGTGCTTCTGCAAGGGAAAGTTGCATCTGTGCTACGGAGGAATGTGGCATTACAGCAGTACTGGTGTAACCACCGAAACTTCTGCCGATACAGACAGGACCTCACAGATGAATAAATTTTTTGTTTATAAAACCAAAAACAGGAAATCCCATACAAAAAAAGAACTTTTGTCTCGGAGTTAACTTTGTAGTCTCATTTCCTGACAACACTGCAAACTTTGAAGAGCAAAGAAATCCGGCAACCTTTCTAACCCAAACGATACCAATCTCCGGGCATGAGGCCAGACACAGAAATATCTCCTCTAACTGGGTTTCAGTCCTACAGTAATTTTCACCCTCACTGAGACAGCACTACTCTGAAATCTGCTTCTACAAAGGGCAAAAAACCTCCCTTTTTCCGTATTTTTTTTTTAATACAGTCCTGCATGTGTTTGAGAGAAGCGCTGTGCCCTCAGCCAGAGGAACACAGCTCAGTGACTACCTGGATCAGCACTTGCCTATGGCTTCGTGCTCTCCCTTGCGGCTGTGCAGGTATCGGCGCTTCTTCTCCTTCAGAAGGTGCTGGAGTCGTTTGAACTGGTCAATGTAGAGGGACTGCAGGCGGATCAGCTTCTCTCGCATGATCAAAGCCACCTCCTCGGCTGTGTACACGCCAGCGTGCCTGAAAAACACCCACACAGACAGGGTGAAGTTTTAAAGGGTCCCTCGGGGCTGTTCTCCCAACCAAATGACACAGTCATTACCAGAAACACAGGCAGAGCAGGGCTGGATTATACATAGATCGATGGGTGATGAGCAGAAATACTGAATTTATGGGTTTTTTTTTAAAGTTGAAAGATCACCCAGAGACTGCTGCTCAACAGACCACACTGAAAAAGGATGACTATCAAATACTTCCCAGAACCACCACCACCAGCTCTAGGGCTGGCGAGCGTTCACACCCAGCACCTCACCAAAGCACAAAGTCCAACTGCAACACCATGAAGATTATCAGCTCTTTAACACAACCACCCTCTCCTTGGGCAACACACTGAGCCAAGGAGCCAGCGCCAGGCCCCGAGGGAATGGCCTGGAGCTGCCCAGGGCAGGGTCAGGCTGGCTCTGAGGAAGGATTTCTGTGCAGAAGGGGCTGTTGGGCGTTGGAACGGGCTGCCCAGGGCAGGGGGGAGTCCCCGGGATCCCTGGAGGGGTTGAAGAGTCGGGCTGAGCCAGCGCTGAGGGATCTGGGGGAGCAGGGAAGGGTCAGGGGGAGGGTCGTGGTTGGGATGGAGGAGCTTCAAGGGCTTTTCCAACCTCCATGACTCTGGGATTCTGAGCTCAGAACGCTCTGCACGCTACACGTGTGTAAGCAGCTGGCAGAACCCAACTTACTTCAAGGGATCCTCCTGGTCACTGTCAATGCTGTCAGCCTCGCTGTCCGGGTCCCCTCGCCACGTCTGGTCCACCGTGACAGGGTCCTGCTCGCCATCGCTCCAGCTGTCCTCATCTGAAAAGACAAGTTGCCCTCAGCAACAGGACACCAAGAGTCCCCAGGAGCGTGGAGGTGAAGCAGCTCTGCCTTTTGCCAAGAGGCTGTTCCTCCCCAGCACGGTATGAGGAAGGGACATGGAACAGCAGGAAAGCCACTGACTCTGCACAACCAAAACACCCGGCTCCTGCAGAGCGACGCTCCTGCCCACCTCGGAACCACGATACACCGGGGCTGGCCCCACCGAGCGACCCAGCAAGGTGGGAAGCTCAGCACTGAGCCAGTGTTTGACAGGCACCACTAGAGACTAAACCAGCAAAGAGGGAAGCTAGTGAAGGTTTCTACTCGGTGAGTGCAAGGGAAGCAAACCCGCAGGGTTTTTGGTCTGGCAGTGCGACTCTTCTACAGTCAGCGACAAACAAGACACACCAGGGTTTGCAGAAAACAATCTTTTACCCCCAGACCCCTGGGATCTTTTTTCCCCACTGGATTTAAGAAGTGATATTCTTGGCGTTTCCACACAAAACTGAGAACTCCAGGTCCTCTCTCAGCAGTTTTATGCTTTTAATTCTTACCCAGAATCCGACTGGCTTCGCTGCGGCTGCTCTCCGCAGTCTGGGAGCCCAGCTCTGACTTGGCATAAGAGCTAAGCTGGCAAAGCAGAGTCTCGCTTACAGGCCCGGGATTGGACTTCTTCATCTGAGCTTGGAGCGCCAGCGTGTTCCTACGGGCATGCTCCGCACAGAACGACACGCTGCAGGAATAAATCACAAGCTCGTTACAACTACAAGCCCTCAGCCAGCAAAATGAACAAGCAATACAGTGAGAAATGTTCCCTGACACCTGGAAAGCACATCCCCTCCACAGCTCTCTCACAGAGCGAGCCGCTGGCTGCAGGTACGGCTCGGAAATGCCGCAGAGCCCCAGGTGGCTCACAGACCACACACTGCTGCTCAAATGCCACCTCTGGCACCGGACCCAGCAGCCACACAGCACGGCAGCAGGCAGAGAAAAGAGCTTTATACTTAAACCCACTGAGGCGAGCTCTTCTGCTTCCAAACATTCACACTGGACTCTCAGTTTCCACGCAAAGCACTCTGGCCCACGTCGGACGGATCCTTTTTATCGGAGAGGGACCAAGGGCAGAATGAAGACTACCAGTGTCCTCACCCCTGTAAGCCCTGAGAATGAAACGTGGGTCGATGCTCCCGTAAAGGGAAACTGTGCTCTGCTGACATCCTTACTGAACGTCGATAACTGTTCTAGGTCCTTCCATCCGCAGCAGTCAGAATGTTTTATATGCATCAGAGAACGAGCAGCACAACCAGGTCATCAGCTCCATGTCTGAGCTGAGGATTAGCCACAGGCAAGTTAAATACCCACAGGCAAGTTCAATTTGCTGGGCTGAGCAGAGGTACAGCACCGTGGGGGTGTGCGTGTGGCTCTTACAAAGGACCTGGATCACTGCAGCCACCTTCTGATGGCAGAGGGCAGCAGCCCGACAGTCTCGTGGGACCAAGATGACTCCACAGTGTCCAGCGCTCACAGAGCTTTTTTCTAGCTTAAAAGTTCTTCAGAAAGAGGGAGCCACTTGTCTGAGGTAACGTAAGGACCTTTTCCTCCCTGTTTTAATTCTATATGGCGCAGAACCAGAGAAGAGAGATACTCACCCATCCTTCTTCTCTGGCTTGGGCGCAGCATTGGGACACCGCTTTCCGTTCTTCGTTGAAACGTAGCTGCACTGCTTGAACGGGGCACTCCTGTCTTCCAGAATGTGCTTAATACAAAACTCCTGCCCCTCCAGGCGCGGCTGGGAGCACTGGCGGTGGGTGAAGGCACATGACAGAGGCTCCTGCGGCCGCGGCACGGGAGTAAGGCGTCCTCGGCTCGATGGCAGAACGTGGATCCGAATTCTGTTCATGCCAACACCTGCTTGAGAGACGCAGAGCAGTTAAACAACATGAAACAAACTGCCGATGGAAGAAAGAGAAGCAGTATCTGCTAACACCTGCTAATGCATCTGAATAAAACTCTCTGACCCCCTTGAACAGGCGGGAGATGAAGTTGCTCCTATAAAGTTTCTTCCAATGACTGAGCGAACTCTGAGCTTTGCGGCAACCCCATTTCTGCACAGAATGAAACGCATCTCACTCACCTGAGCCACCAAGCAGCACCATCCACGCCAAGGTGTGGGCACAAGAAGCACTGTTGCCCACCAGCGCTGGGGCCAGGGGGCGACCCACGTCCCAGAGGTACCCCTCTACTCCCCCGACCCCAGCGCAGGAGCCTTTGGTCCCAGCACACAAATCCCAGAGCCCCCAGGGTACCGCGCTGCCTTCCCGGAGCCAAAGCCCAAACCCGGCCCCGTGTCCGCGCCCTCGCTCGGGGCTGGCAAACCCGGGGGGGGGCCGGGTCCCGCC